TTAGTTATTTAAATTTACCTTATCAGTGAATGCTTTTTATCAGACAAGTTGGAATCCACACTGCTGGGCTACTACAGAATGAAATATTTTTCTGGCTTTTTTCCTCTGTGTTGCCAGCCTCAAGTGGACAGTGGTTTTCAAATGGCAAATATAATAGGAACTTTCTTCAGAGATGGGTAAAAGAAACATCTGAACCTTCTGAGGGGATTACATTATGTCTTGCAGTAACTTTCCTAATTCTGAATCATTACATGTTGTATCTGCCAGTTGTTTTAATGCTCTGGTCATAGCAAAGTCATAGAGACTGGGAGAAATAAACCATATTTTTATTTTAACAATTTAGAAGACTTTGTGCATTATTCTACAAGAATGGAGGCACTGGGGTCCTTTAGCTTTAGTGGGTTGGCCTCCTTTTTTTCCCCTGTAAAAATGTATTAACTTATCATGTACTTTGTTCTACTGACTTAGAGAAAGAGAAATTTTTTTTAGTTCCTCTTCCTCTGTACTGTCACTTTTGATTCACAGTTGCTAAGCATTGCAAAAGCTTACCAGAGGGACACTCTCATAGTGTGATTTGCAAACTTTGAAATAACACCCACCAGCAGAAGCACCATATGCTACGAAGTTGCACAGTAAACTGACAGCAGTATTTCATTTATAATTTGAATTTCCAAAAATGTCAGCATTTTTCACATCAACAAATGCCTCCCAGCTTTCAGTGCATGACTCTTGTCTCTGAGTGGACATTAAATTGTGCTAATTCTGCTTACATTTCTACAGAATTTATTAATGACAGCCGCATTAAAATCAATTCACTTTTATTATGGTAACTTGTGGTATTGAGACAAAATAAATCTGTGAATTTTCTGAAAGTGCAGATAAGTCACTGGGTTTATACACTATACAAATGTGTGTATAGTTTACAGCATGTGGACTTTGTGGCTCTTTGTAACATTGATAATCCAGTGCACCCTCTTTGGTAATAAAATAAAGTACCAAGGAATAGTTTTTTAATCAATCAAAGGCAAACTTCACATAAAACACAAGCTGTTCCCTTTGTGGTTAATTTTCATCCAGCTGTATTTAAGTACAACAGAGCCAGCAGAGAAAACTACTTGGCAACACTTCCTAATTAGGGGACGTTAATTACAGCTAAATACTATACAATTTCTATGTTATAAGAGTTCATCTAAATCAATGTTATTATGGCACTGAAGGAATTAATAATGATTTCATACTTAGAAGCTGTTGCCAAACTACCCATTAGTTCAGAGTTGAAAATGACTTTACAATGAAATCTCCAAATCCGCATTACGGAGAACGCTGGAGCGTTCGCAGACAATCACACATGGCACTTCCATTGTGTATTAATAGCTCTGCCTGATGGCATCCCGGCTTCATGCCGGAGTGTTGACGGGCTGGGTGAGAGAGAGAGGGAGGAAAGGGCCCTGCGAGACAAGGCACACGCATCCTCACAGACTGCGCGGGTGAGATCTCCCTCCCGAGAATGGAAACGGCTCCCTCCGCCCGCTGGGAGGTTTGATGGGATGTCACGGGGCGGGGGGACAGGCCAGACCCTCTGACAAAACCACGGACAGGTCAGGTCCTAACGGAAAAATACAACCTGGGGGTGTGTAGGGTGGGATCAGAGCGCCTGAGTTTGTTGAGAAGCAAGGGTGGCTCCCAGACCACCGTTTCAGACATGCCCCTCTCTGTTTAGGATGGAGAATTTGTTACCGAGTTGATACGTGCTAAAATGTCCTTCATTGCGTCTACTCCTATTTGTGCTTTAAATGCAGCACAAGGATTAAATCACTTTTTGTTGCATCTTGCATTTTTAGCAGCAGCTGCCTTGTAAAAATTATGGCTTAGCATTTCTAAGTCAAATCCAAATCAGAAAAAAAGGAGGAACATTAACCTACTATGCAGACAGGGGATTTCTCCCAGGTTATTTCTTATTAAATAGGTGTCCACAGGTGCCTATTACTGTCATAGCAGCCCCTGCTCAGCAGCCTTGTCAGTAAAATGGGAAGAGAGATCAAGACCAGACTGGATGCACTGAGCAAACAAACACCTGTACAGAGGAAGGGAAGCTACAAGTCTGCAGTGCCTCAGCTCAGGCTCTGCAAAGAGTAATCATGAATGGCTTAAAGCCCTCTTTGTGCTCACCCAATCTAAGACAACTCCAGTGCCTCCAGTTTCCTTCAGCACAATTTGTACAACCTACAGTACTCTCCCTGTGTTCCAAGAGCTTGTTGGTCGTCTCCCGCACTCGAGCTATTGCTACCCTGGGAAACACCCTTCATTTCCAGTGTCACGGGGAGCTTCTCCCTCAGTGTTCAGCTCCTTTTTTCCCTACTCTGCCTTTTTGTTCAGCATGGTGGATGAGGAATGATATGTACAAAGAGATACCTGAATTTGGTGGGTGGCAGAAGGGAGTTGCTTTATAACTTGATTGGTTTATTTCTGAGGGATGGACAGAGAAAGATTTGTGTTGTTGCAGGGGAAAGCTTCTCAATTTGTATGTTTTAGAGCAAATCAGGATCAAAGCAGGTTATTGACTTATTAATGGCATGTAATTAACAGGCAATCAGTGAATTACAAATCCAGGGTCAATATCAGCAGATAAACCACAATAGGAGATGCTTAAGAGACGTAAATAAACTCTTGCAAACTCAAGAAAGAGCTTCCACAAGTAATCCCCAAAGGTTTTAACCCCATGTCCTCCCACCACCCCATGTGAGGGACCCCACAAGGTTGCATATGTGGTGCAGGTTCCCATGCCTTGTGCCCCACACTTTCAGTCCACTGACGGTGTCCATGGGGGAGGAGGCACTGCCTGGTCTTGATGGGGTGGGGACGTGAGTGGCTCCCCCAAAAAGGGTGAAAGAACCTTGCAGGAGTTTAACACCCAGCAAAGGAAAAGTCACGCTCAGCAAACACACACAGAGTTTTATAAGACAGCTCCTGAGCAGCTGGCTTTGAAGAGCTGACCTCCAACCAAGTTATAAAAGTTGTTTTGCTGCACTGCCCCAGGACAGGAACATCAAAAAGATCAGTAGACAGATGCAAAATTAACCCTTTCTAAGAAGTCAGCTGTGGGAACAGGTGGAGAAAAGGTTTTTAGTCCAATACAGGTATCCACAGTCACCTAAAGAAGATGGGCAGCACTGGGAGATGTGTAAGCCTTTAACTGAAACCACCACCCATGCAGACTACATTTTTAAAAATTTCGTTCCAGCTGTGGTCAGAAGCAGTAATGACCAGACAGGCTTGCTAATCCAGATGTATCCAAACCAGCTGGCCCTGGTGGGTATATGTGCATGGCAGCCCACGTGGGACACCCCAGTGACACCCCAGAAGAACAAGAGGCGTGAGGCCGAGTGCTGGAAGGCATGTCCAAAGCTGAAACCAGGACAGCAGCAAAGCAAAGGTAGCTTTGTGTCCATGGCCCAGGGCGTCACTGGCTTGGGGCATGATTAATCCATATGCCTGTATCTTGGATATACCAGATATCCAGGCTTTCACTCGCATCACCATTGCTCTTCCTTAGATAAGCAAGAGAGCACTCTGCCTGCAAACCACAGTCCTTCACCTTTCAGCTTATAGTGAAAGCACTTTTTAAGAAAACATATCTACACCAGTACTAGAACTGTATTTTAGTGAAACATTTAGCAATATTTACACTAGAAGTACACTAACAGATAGTGCTGCATCTTTTTATGTATGGAGCAAAGGGCTGACTTGCAACAGACTGCTATTTTGATAAGAATACCTTCTGCTTGGGAACTATTCTTAAGTTTATTTTTCAAGTGTTATTCCAAATCCATGTTATAAAATGTTTATATGTGCACTTAGGAGCATGGTTATGGTATAGATGTAAAAGGAAAAAAACCACCCCACGACTGATGTCTTTTCTCATACTTAAGATGTCAGAATGGATTTGCAGTTTTCTCGCCCTTGGGCTGTGCAAAGCCAACCCTCACAACATGGGGGATGCTGCTAAATTGCCCATATGCCCCCCAACCCCCAGCACACTTCCGTGGTGCTCACACCCACAGGGTAGCCCAGGAAATCCAGAGGGAAGCAGAGTGGGTCTGTCACCTTAAGGATGTGAAAGATGTTCCTGTGACAATAAAAGCATCCCTAAGTGCACCTCCAATCATAAATCATTTTCAAAATTGCTCCTGGCTTTTTAATTTCTTTCATTTGGAGGATTTATAGTGCTCTGATGTGCCAGAATGTTTATTCCATGGGCTGCCCGTCATGTGGCGCCCCATTGGCAAAGTACCAGGCTCTGGTCCACATTAATCTAAACCTCTGCAATGATCATCTGCAGTTTCTAATAAATGACTGATAACTCCGAGTGTAACTCTCACAGTGATTAAAGTTAACATCAGCACAGAGTGCAGGCTGTTTCAGCCGCTTTTTGACGGCTATTTGCCATTCTCCCTTTTCAGTATTGCCATCACTGAAACAAAAAGCTTCTTGTTTGAAAATTATTTATGGACCGTTGCAGTGCTTTATAAGATTTTCATACACCACTCTGTGGGCTGGTATCCTTTCGGATTAGAGTGTACTCAGAATTTCAGACCATGGATGAGAGTGACTTGATTTCTTTTCATAGTTTGCAGCTCCAGAAATGTCCATGAATATGTATTCTGTCTTTTGACATTCCTTTGTGCTGGCTTTTGGGGAAGGCTGTGCAGAATCAGAGAAATTAAAGATGGAGTGGACCCACTAGACCATCCAGCTCATCTGCCTCCCCATGCAGGCTGGTGCTTTCTGAACGAAGTTGTCTTGTATTCGATTGGGTCCCAGCTGAGGGGCTTCTGCTGCCTCCCCGGTGGGCTGCCAAACAACCTCAGATAATGACTTACAGAAAGACTTGTTGGCACTCACCCTTAATTTCCCCCATGTTATTTTTGCCTGGTGCGCCCGACATAAACACAGTATTTTGCATTAAGCCATTCTCCTCCATTGCCAGCATTCACATTTACCTCCATCCACATGGCATCGCCTGTGTTCACATTAGTGACGTGCAAAGGCACTGGCCAAGAACCACAAAACACCTCAGGAAGTGCTGTGTGAAAACAGAACAACAAAAAAAAAAATCAATCCCTGCCTCAATGAGTTAATTGCTCAGATGAATTAAATTTACAACATGCATGACAGGTAACAAGAAATAAACACTGAAGTCGGGAGAGCAAAGCATTTCAAAGTTACAAAAAACTAAGCTGCCCATGCCACCATCTCTCAAACTTCGTAAATGCCACTTTCAGTGACAATTTTGTTCCCTGGTCCATCTGTCTGTCCCTCTTTTCTAGCCATTCCCAAAATTAAACTAATGGACAGGAGATCACATTTGTGAACCATTTGCTTTTGATCCCAGTATTCCTCCTCTCCTGATAAGGCATCATGTTTCTGGCAGGTCCACTCCCACTCTTCTTGCCTGGATCACCTCACTCTTGCTGTGCACCTGCCAGCTCTTGCATCTGGTCTTCTGAGCCATTTTCCCCCATGCCTTTCCTTCCACTTTCCCTGCTACCACTCCCTGTTTCCTTTATTTCTCTAACCCATTCCACTGTCTTTCTCTCCCCCCAGTCTAGCTTTTGCCTGCTGATGGAATTACACTCCAGCTCGCACCATGCACAATACTAACACCAGGAAAGGCAGGTGCCATAGATTGGGATCATTTTCCCCCTTGCCACAAATTCATTCTCTCATATGTGGGAATTTCACAGATCTCAATTGTCCCAGTTTCTAGGTTTGGGCTGAAAACTCCCAGCCCACTCCCTATTTTTATTCAGCTTTATTTTCTGACACTTTTTTTAGAAGAAAGTTCAGTCAATGACGACATCTACCTAGAAAATTTCAGTCCAAGCAATTTGCTCGCCAACGCCGCAATTGGAGCATAATGGAGAATAAAATGTTTATGACTCTTATAAGTGTTTCAGACTCTAACTTCTGCCTAGAACAAGTGTAATTTCTAAGGAAGGATTAAGGCTCTATTTGTGCTTTGCTCACGCACTTCACTACTCTTCTCTGGAAACATACCCTATTGACCAATTACACTGTGTTCAACCACACAAGCAGCAATTAACTTACTCATCTGCCTCACCTGTCACACGTGTATTTAAAACCCTGTCTTAGCATCTCAGCGTTTCTTAATCTCCTCAGCAAAAACCCAAAGCACCGATGTATTCTGAGGTGTGGTACGTTTTTTTTTTCTCTCTGTGTGTTGCACCAGTTTTACACCCCATTGAGTTTAAGAGAGCTGTACAGCAGGAAATTAGACCCAAAGTACATATAGAGCTTTAAATCCGATCCTAAAACACTGTAACACACTGCTCTGAGGCCCTCTAATGGAGACAATGGCAGCCACAATCCGCAAAATGAAATGGAATTAACACTTAACAAAGAAATTTCCACTGGAGGAGGCAGCTCGGGGAACACATACTCAATTAAGAGCAGATAGATAATTTTCTGTTGAAGTGACTTTTAGTTATTTATTTATTTGTTTATTCAGAGCAGAAGGTCATGAGGTTTTTAGTGAGAAGCAGGGGTGGGGAGTGAACGAAATTTGATTACTGGAAAGAGCACAGGTGAAACCTCCTGGAGACTTCTGCCTGCCCACCTTTGCTGAGGAGGTCATTTGTACTGGGGACGTCCCTGCTTCTCTGCTGTGCCTCTGAGGACAGTCTGTGGGCAGAGTTGATCCAGTGAGTGGCTATGAATACCTGGCCATCCTCTCTGAAAATGGAACACGTTGCTAATACTGTCTAATTTGACATGTAAGAAGCAGTGTACCCTCCTGTGTTGCTAACATACCCGTTTCACCCTGACTAGCTGTGGGGAATTGCTTTGGGCTACAGCTGCTCCTTCCTCTCTGGCAAATCCTAAGCCAGCATAATGCCAAGATGTTCTTGCTCACCAGCAGTTATTTTCAGGACTCTGCATTTGGTTCTTACCTGGCATTGTAAGGACAAGCTTAAGAAAAGTTTCAGGAATTGTGAAACAGCTTTTTCTTCGGTCTGCTGGGGATACCTTTTACTTCTGTCTCAGCTGCCTCCTCCTTATCTTAAGTGTCTAAAAGAAATAGGAGTTGTGGGAATTTGCTCAGGGTAATAGTAGGGAAAAGTAAAGATATTCTTCTCAATCACTGCAGAAATATACTCACTCCAGATCCCATCAAGTTGTTTGAATACATTGGACATCCACACTGTAACAGTAGCCAAAGATATCTGTCATTTCTGACTCTTCCTGTAAGCTGAGGCATTAGTCACAGAGCTGTGCCTTTTTTATTTAAACCTGCATTCCACATTCAGGAATAAAGAAGGAAACCATGTAAAGATTATTCTCATTTCATTACCTAACATGAACAAGCCAAACAACCCAAGAAATGTAATGGTTCCCAGGCCAGCCTTGGGACGTCTTCAAGGTCTTGGTACATCTTTAAAGCTTCTTGAGCTTTAAACCGGTGCAGGGCAGGTCATATTTCAGATCACGAGTTTTTAGGAGCCATCTTGAAGAACGTTTAGTAGAAGAGACCCGAGATGACACTATTTTACAGACTGGCACAGGTATTTTTGTGAGTACTTGCCATCTCCAAGGATGGGTGTGATCAGGCTGCCATGTGGGGAAAAATATGGGTTTGTGTAGATGTTCCCCGCTCTGCTGTCATCAAACACTAAAACAACCCATTTAAAAGGGCTGAAGGAACTAGAAGGAAGTCCCTGGTGCATAGATCTATAGTTAGAGGGGCATTACTGGATGATGTGATCCTACCAGATTGCCGGGTTTATTTTTTTTCAACATTAGAGGACTCGTCAACCCTGAAGGGACTAAGGGAAGGAGGATGCAGAGGATGAAACCACCTGAATGTGCAGTGCTGCAGGTTTAAAGCTCCAAGTCCCAGGGCTCAGCACACACAGCATCTATTTAACATCCTTACGGCTTCTGGGCTTCAGCCTGAGAATTGCTCCAGCTCCATGTGCCACGGAGCAACCCCTCTGCGCTCGCATTAGGCTTTTCTTAACATTCAGAGGGAAACAACAAAAGTTCTTTTCCTTTACAGCTCTTTCACTTTTCGCCTAATGAAGGTGGAATATAAAATGTTGAAGGAAAAAGCAGTTTTTCCCCTACAGTAGAATTTCCTTTTCAGTTATTTTTAATCTGACATCTGTTTTAACATGCACTCACAACGCTACATTTATTTTATTTTTTTTCCCCTCCCTTGTGTTTTATTATTTACCTCCTGTTCCAAAGAGATCACAAAAGATTACACTTCTGTGAAGCAATAACAGCAGTGGTGATGATCTCTCTTACTTCTCACAACTTCTCTTTTTACCCCTCTGTTTTTCCTTTATCTACATCTTCCCATCACCACCCTCCCAGAGGCCTCATTACAGCTGCTATCAGATGGGGTGAAGGATTTCATGGGTTTTTTTTGAATTGGACAGATACATACTAACTAGAACACAAAGCACTTCTTGTTCAGAGCCTGGATAGTCGTTCTTTGCTCTGTTTCAATTCGTGCCTTTAAATAAGTTAGAGCAAGAAATCACACTCTGGGTCAGCCGGTGCCTGTACTTTGAAGAAAGCCCCAGACTCTGCTGAAGGCAGCAGAAAGCAGCCAGTGCTGAGACGTGCCAGCCTTCAGCCAGACTTCTGACATGCTGCTGGCTGAATGTTTCATTTCCCTTGGAAATGAAGATAACATCCTTAATCATCTTACATGTAATTAAATTAAATCATGGAGCATATGCATTCTTCAGCTTCTCCTAAGAAGCTGGTTGCTCAGGTCTGAGCATTAGGGTAGGAAAAAAATAGAGTTCTCGATGGACCAGAAATCACTACAGAGAGTTTTAGCACCTTCCAGCCCCAGGGCAACCTCTCAGGCACTGAGAGCACAGGCTGGTTCATGCAGCTGCTAGGCTCATTGGTAAAGCTTTCCAGGCTCCTCCACCCTCTTGCTCTCCAGGTTGAGACAGGGGCAGGGACCCCTAACCCATGGGATTACCAAACCAGCCTGGTCACTGGCTCGACCCAGATGTAGGAAGGGAACTGGTTGGCTGGTTCACTTGTCTCACCTAGTAAATAGGTGAGAATTCATTTAAGCCTTTGAATAAAAACAGAGCACATGCTATTACTGAAATGAAAAAAATCAGCTTATGATGCACTCCCTCATTTTTCCAGGCACTTTAAGGTTTGGTTTTATAGGACACTGCGCTATATAGAGATGACACTGATCTCCACCAGCTGAGTATGCAAAGGGCCTGTTCAGCCACAAGAAGAGATGACTGAGAGGGAATGTGATTAACGTCCATCAGTATCTGAAGGGAGAGTGTCAAGAGGATGGAGCCAGGCTCTGCTCAGTGGTGCCAAACAATAGGACAAGAGAAAATGGGCAGAAACTGATGCACAAGATTCCTGATGCAAAGGAAGTTCCACCTGAACATGAGGAAGAACTTCTTTCCTGTGTAGGTGACCACATACTGGAACAGACTGCCCAGAGAGGTCGTGGAATCTCCCTCACTGGAGATATTCAAGGACCATCTAGATGCAATCCTGGGCCATGTGCTCTGGGATGACCCTGCCTGAGTAGGAAGGTTGGACCAGATGACCCACTGTGGTCCCTTCCAACCTTATCCATTCTGTGATTCTGGGATTATTCTACTCCCTCTATAAGGAAAGCAAGACTTGAAGAAAACAAGTGTAGTTAATTCCAGTATGGTTTCCTCAGTTTGTTAACGTTCTTTAAAAAGCCCTTTGTTTTCATCTCAGCTAAAGAAGCAATTTTAGATTTATGCTTTTACAATTCAGTGTTTTCAAACACTCCCTGTGATCTGAAGAGATCTGAAACTTTTATGTCTCAAGAAAGCTTTGCTTTCAGACCTTATTTTCTGCAATTTCCAAGAATTAGCAATCCACAAGATGTCCCCAGCGCTTAAAACAGAGACACACAAAGTCACTAGACTCATTAGGAATGGTTAGAGCACCTTGTTGGTACGTCTTCATTGCATCAATGTTAAATTTCATTACAGGATATTAAACTTTTTCTTGGTAAGCAGTTACTGTAGGTCCTTATGGAGTGGGAAGGATCTGTCAAGTGCTTAAAAGAGAGGAAAGGTCTCTACAACAGAGCTGGTCGGGATCTGATCATTTGCTCACTCTTGTTTTTAAGGAGTGGAAGGATTGCAAGCTTTCTTGATGCCCCTTTCTAAGTCTTAGAAGAGCCTGGTTCCATCCTCTTGAAATCTTCCCTTCAGATACTTAAGTACATTGAGGAGATCTCCTCTCAGTCATCTCTTCTTGAGGCTGGACAGGCCCTTTGCAAAGATGGAGACCAAAGCTGAAAGCTTTGATCGTTCTTAAAGGTGGAAATCATCATCATCTCTACACATTACAGTGTCTTAATTTAGCACAATTCTGGTTTTCTGGGATTTGTAATAAAAGCAGTCTAACGGTAATTTTACCGATGGTGTCTTTGCAAATTAAGAATACTCTTCTCTTTGGTTTCCCTGTTAAATAAGGACTGACCAGAGGAACATTTTTCTTTCTTTCCTGGGCAGGTTACATCTAATTAAAAGCAGTTCTCTCCTTCTACTCCCTACCCCACATGATACATATCATCCAGCTATCAGCACTGGTAATTTCAGCAAAGCTCACCAAGATTTGGATAAAATTTGCTGTTGTTGTTTGTGGGGTTTTTCAACCCCAGAGAGGCAGGAAGCCAAAGTTCCAACTGAGCAAAATAAAATTAAAAGTAGATCAGGTTTTTTTGTCTCAGTGGCATGTGCTATGGTATATAATGTATGTTCCCTGCTTCACAAAGGAAATGAAAAAATGAACTTATATGACTGATGAAATAAAGATATCAAAGTATTACTTGTCCCAGCTGCTATGTGCACTTCACATATAATTACTATTTAATATCTTTGTTTCCTACAAACCAGGAAAAAAGCTTACCCTCACTCCCAATTCCCTCTCCTTGTAAATAAGCTGATGCAGAATATTCTAGATTTGCAGTTTCTACTTGACTTTCTTCTTGAATTTATTCTCTTCTTTTCAAAGTAATGTGGTCTACAAAATGAAGCTATTTAAAATCCTAAATGAATAAGTGTTATAAAAATAATAAATTAGTATACAAGACTGACTTGCACAAAACATATGTTATACTCTGAAATATATTTAGACGTGAGTGCATAATTGCCTGTTCCTTTTCTAATGGCCTGAAGCACAGTGCTAAATCTGAACTTTTCCCAAAGTCTGTGCAGCAACCGAGTGCCGCCCCCTCCCCAGCTCCCAGCTGAACTCAGGTCCTCTGCTTTTCACGTGCTGCTTACAGGACTGACAACCAGCTGCAGCAGCCTCGATAAACCTCAGCTGACCACGGGAACTAAACAGCAGCAAACAGTCATCAGGAAACACCTGGGAAAGAGGGAAGAGAGGGGCAGTGGAAGTGCCAGGCAGGTGAAGGGCAGCAAGCCCGGGAGACCCCAGGGTGAGGGCTTCCAGCTCCCTGTGGGTGGGGATGCAGGTCCTGCCACGCCCTTTGGGATGGGGGATTGCCCCCCAGGGACGCTGCGTTATGGGACCCATCCCTTCTCCAGGATGGGAGAGACCTTTGGGGCACGGGACCCCTCCAAAGACTGGGACCTGTGTGGGGCCTGAACATCCACCCATGGTCCCTGTGCCAGGGGACATGTGTGTCCCCTGCCCCAGCAGGGTCTGCACCCTGCTGACCCCGGGGAGGGGACAGGGACAGGGGGATGGTGCTGAGTGCCACCTTCACCCCAAACTGCCCCCTCACTGGTCCACCTGGAGCAGGAGGTTCAGGGTTAGGGGTGTCCCTGGATGCAGGAGACCAGGGCTGGAGTTTGGGGACCTGGGACTGAGGACAAGAAACTGGGGACTTGGAGGACCAGGGACTGGGGACAAGGGGACAGGGATTGAGGAACTGGAATTGGGGACCAAGAACTGGACCCTGGGGATGCCGGCCTCTGACCTGAGCTCAGAACATGTTAGTCCCTGCATCCCCCTGTGTTTGGCTCTCTCACAGGCTCAGTACTGGCATAAGCCCAGTGATGCTTGTGGCTCTGCCCAGCCTTCTTCCAAGCACAGCAGGGGCCCAGGAGCCCCACTCCAGCTCAGCTGGTCTCCAGCCCTGCCTGTGCAATGGACCTCAGACCTGTGCTGTTGGTAAGTCTCATGGATGGGCCCCTGGACATGCCTTGTTGTCTGTCTCCAGCCCAGTTCCCTGCTGCTCCTGATGGGATCCTCGGCCCAGGTTCAACCCCTCACATCACTTAGGGCTGTCAACAGACCAATACTTGGCTGGTACCAGCAGCTTCTGTAGGAAGAGGAGCAAGAGACAAGGCTCTGGGTCATGTTGGGGGAACAGACACAGGCTGAATATAACTCACTTGTGTCACCAAGGAGTTAACAAAGACAATCAGTTGCTCTGAAACACTGAGCCTTCTGCTTATTCTTTGAAAAAAAACACCCCAAAACCAGAATCATCTTTATTTGGATGTGTTTACAGACTCTGTTACTTTTTTTCTTTTTTTCCAAAAAAGTGTTATAGGTTTCAACAGAAAAAAATGTATAAAATTACTCTCCAAGCCAGCTTCTCCCAAAACACTGGTTGGCCTGGAATTGCACAGTATTTAACATCAGTGTGTTTATAATGTTCATGGAAAAGGGAAGCAGCTCTCTTTGCCTTCTCAGGAAGCCGAACCTCTCCCTCCGCAAACGGAGCCTGTTACCTTTGAAGTGAAGTAACCACCAACAGCCTGTGTGTACATCAGAACAAACGGGGGCCGATTCCACAGAATTCCTCCTGGGCAAGTTCACTAATTGACATAGTTTCTGTGGAAACAATAAGGCTGTTCTCAGAGGTGAGACTCACTTTACATAGTGAGGTGGCAAAGCTGGACCTCCGTTAATCTTAGGGAACTACACAGAGTCCTTCACCTGGAAACTAAAGCATCTCCGAAAACAGTTTGCATCTTCTATCTTCACCCTAAACGTCCAAAAGTCAACCAATAACAAAAAAGGATACTTTGCAAGTGGCATGACTTTCTAATATGAGACTATGGAAACACACACCAACATTTATACAGCTAGAGCTAAACAGCAGCAAAATCCAGTGTGTGGCTGCTGGGAGGGCACGGCAGAGGGTCAGCCTGGCAAGCACCCGGTGGGACCTGACCTCAAATAACAGGCTCTGTATTTCTTAAAGCTGAGCAGCAGAATCTTCCTCTCAATATGCAAACAGGCACTGGATTTTTCCTTGAAGAGACTGGCAATGAACTCAGAACGAAAACCCATGGCAAAAAGGGCCACTTTTCAGGAAAATAAACATGAAAATAGTGTTACAGCTCAGCCTCATTTTCTGTGAGGAGACCTAAAGCAGAAGAAGACAGAGAGCCTTGGATGAACTACTTCCTGAGAAATTAAGGCCCATTTTTAGTACTGAGCATTGCAATATAGGATTTTGTTTTCTCTATATGTTGTTTCTCTGATTTTTTTCCCTAATCAGCTTTCCTATCTGTCCAAGGTGGTTTGTAGCACACTAGTGATTCAGGTGGCATAACCAGATAAATAACCGAGTTATTTCTTTATAATAAATCTCTTTGTAATAAATGTACCTTGTAGCTTGATTTACAGCAAAATCCTCCTACTCTTACTTCCATGATGAGACCTACTTAAGTCAGTGAGACTAGTCATGACGATAAGATAATTAAGTTTTTAGTACAACTCTGGTTAGTGAGCAGAATGCAGTTCTGATATAATGAATCCACCAGCTTCAGTCTGATATTCAAAAGGTGTTGATGATTTCAGTATTATTCTTAATGTGCTCTGAGAAAAGTATGGTTTTTTTTACATTAAAGCATTAAACCCCATATAGGACACAATTCAATTCACCTTTTAAATTAAAGAATTGCTTTTAGAATGGCAAAGTTGAAGTTTAGCCAGCAGTGACACCTGCAAACTGACAGTCAAACCCCCCTACATTAAAATGGAAAGATTTGCATGAATGTGTTTTAAAATGACAGGAGACAGGAATGGGAGCTTCTAAGCAAGTTAGACTAAAATTTTAAGAGTGAAATGGCTAAAAATAGGCCCCTGAATGCATAGTTAGGCACCTATATAGAGACTGCTTGATTTTCAGTTGTTCTGATCACCCAGAGCTCCCATTAACTTCAGGAGCAACTGTGGATACTCAGCTGCTCTAGAAATTAAGCCACTTTTATTCAAGGGTCTAAATATGGATGTCTGTGCCCAAGTTTGAGGGGAAAAATACAAAAAATAAAAAAGAGGTGGGGTTTTTTGATACAGAAGACATTTTATAAAAGACAGTATTAGCCAAGTTTCATTCTTCTTTCCAGTTATAATGCTTGAAACTGAATCAACATAACAATTAATAGTGCAACACATTTGTGCCAGAAGATTTTGTCTGAGGTGAATGGAAATCTATTTCAAGATCAGTAGCTCTTAATTAGCAATCTGAAACATTCCATAGATACTTCATATTCTGTGACTGCAAAGTGTTACCAGGCCACCTAAATCTCTTTCATAGTATTTCAGTGTTGCCATTAATAAGCTTTTCAGCCTGGTCTGAGGAACTTTGGAAGATTAACTTTGCAAATCTGTAAGTATTAACTATTTAACTATTTCAGAAATACCATTTTTTTCTGCTTTTGGATCAAGTACAACCACCAGACTTGAGCATATTTTTAAATACTATAAAATATGAAGAAGGGAGAATTAGGTCTTTCATTCCATCATATGCACTTGGTTGTCAGAAGAGTTCTGAATGCTGTTTGCTTAAAGACCTCTTTTGTAAAAGTAATCCTGAGCTGATTTCATGTCTAAGCCATTGCCAGTTCATGCTGAAGTGGATAAGAGCCAGTCACATGATAGAAAATCTGCAAGAAAAAAAAGAAAATTTATGATGGAATTATATATGACTATAAAACTGAAAGTGTCAAGGAAGTAACAAATTAAAGGCATGCCAGATGAAGATGATAGATGTTTGTTTGTGTGTGTGTATAAAATATGATGTAATATACCTTTATATATTTGTTTGTAGAATATGAACTATAGCAGCTCTTGCTGCTGTATTTGGAAAAAAAAGGTAAAAAGGAAAGACTCTTATTGCTTTTCAAAAAGAGACAGGCAGAAGCCAATGCTTTTATTTGTCATCTGATTTTGATGATTTCAGTGTTTGTTTTATTGAATATAATGATTGGGACATTTTATCTTCCATGTTTTTTGATGGCATAGTATAGCAGAGCTTTGGTCACAACTGGGGCATTTATGCAAACCCTGGCATATTAAAGAAATCAGAAGAAATCGTGTGACACAATCACTGGCTGTGTCCTAAGACTCAGCAGCAATGGCAGTGGCAACAAGAAGGCTCATGCTGCTTTGTATAACCAGGAGCATAATTTTAGGTCAAGAGTGAGGCAGAGGAAGTCTGGCAATGAAGCAAGCCAATATTATCCTCATTGCAGGAGTGAGTTTTCAACAGTCATGAATATAAACTGACATCTCTCAGATGTTCTATATTTCTAAAGACATGTCAGTATTTCAGTTGTTAGAAAGATGGGGAAAGGGAACAGACTGGTACTTTTCTCCTCCCTCAAAACTCATGTTTTCCCGGCATCAACAGAAAAAGGACTCTCAAACTTTGAATTGGTTAAAGCTGGTATCACCTTATCTCCTGGGTTCAGTGAACACGGGAGTGAAGTTCAGAAGCCTTAACGTTTTGGTAGTTCCTCCAACACTACACTGTTCCCAACTATGCTGAATCCTTCGGGGTTGATACCCTGTGCTAGTGATGTAGGTCAAGGGTAGATAGGTCAGAACCCCTCTTCCCATTGGAAACTTCTTCCTCAGGAAATAATCAACACGTAAAAGCTTCTCTATCAGCAGCGTTTGGATGAGATGCAACTTTCTCCACAGCATGGAAATATATGGTGAACAGTTGTGGTACAGTGTATTTTGAGGTATTTTGAGGGTCAGTTGAACTGGCAACAGCTGGGAGTGCAGGGGAGTGCACTGCCATGCATTTGCAAAAGACTCCATACATGTACAAACTGAGACTCTTTGCTCACTCCATTGCAAACAGACAATGGTCAGCTGCTGGAATATCAGAGTCCCAGGTGTCTGTGATGACAGGCCACATTTAAAGAAATGCTGGGCTGGAAGTACACATCACTAACAATGAATCAGATGCATGTTCTACTTCTGCAAAATCAGTAAGCCAGCATATCTAGAAAGATGACTATCTCCAGAAGTTGAAAGCTGTCAACAACTAACCTGTTGCTCAATGTCTCCCAGTAAGCTACTGGCACCCAGGCGAAAGAGCTCTGGTGTCAGCCATTCCACTCCCAGCTCCTCCTTCACCAGCATAAGCCAAGTGATAGCTTCTTTTGCTGTTCGAATGCCCCCGGCGGGTTTAAATCCAACCTTTATACAGAAGAAAAAAAAGTTCAATACACAATTGCATTTTCATTCGTCAGCAACACCAGGAAGAGCAATAAATGTTTGTACACCTGCAGTCTCACAGTGTCTGTGGTGTATGTAACAGCTCTACCCAGTAAGGACCTGACTGCAAAGAGGATAAGCTCTAGCACTGAGAGCTATCAAGCCTCAGCCATCACTGTGAAAGATAACATTTCCGTTCAGAGGGAGTAATACCATTGAACCCCGTGCACTTTCTCAGGAGCTGGGCTTGAGGTCTAATGGGACTATTTTGCTTACTGCACATATCAGGCCAAGGGATTTAGCCCAGACCTGGGACATCTGCACAATCACCTACGCCCATGTCACAATCTAATTCCAAATATATAACAACAAATACACATGCAATAACACTAGAGATGCTGAATTAAAGCATGTGAGGCAGCAGACTCGTGGACAGCGTGAAAGATGGCTGTACTTCATAAAAACCCTGTGCGCCAGAGTTACATGTGATTTGGCTGTACATTCAAACCTATTAGAGGTTTAATTTTCACTAAAATTTTCCAAATGGGAATTAAATTAGGTTTGTTTTTATCAAAAATCAAAAGCTTTGTGCTTCACAGGAACTGCAAAACTTCCCTCCCATGCTGGATATGCTGTCAGTCACTTGTGAGATATTCGTCATATTTGGTCAGGTGAACTGCCATGTACTAGAGGCACACACGCCAAGTAAAGCCTATCTTTGGGGTAAAGCACATCTTGAATCCCATGATGGACCTGCTGTGCAAAGCCAGCACTGAGGTGACTTGGCATATACCCCTAATGCCAGTCTTTCATGTGCCATTTAAACACATCTCATTCCGAGACACAGCTTGTGATACACAGCTATCAAAAATTTTGACACCTGCATTAGTTAAAATGTTGGCCTTTAGCAGCTAACTAAACTCTTGGAAAACAAGGAGAATTAGGAAAAAATGTTTCTGCATTAAAAAAAAGTAAATTAGAACAATATGAGGAACACGGCAATTCTTCATATGTTTCCCTCTGCCATAAACCTCTGCCTTCTGCAAGAATTATTGGTTTGCTTTTTTCATATAAGCTTCTGAAACCTCACTGCATTGAGGATTTCTTTGTACCTTACGGTTAAAATAGTAGAATCCAAAAGTATCTGTTTTTAAATGTCTTTGGTAATCTTTATATAGTGATTTCAGGACCAACAAACACAGAATAAATCCTTCTCTCTCACCCTAGAGCATTGTGATAATGGCATATTTCGAATAAGACTAAAAGAACAACAGCAGGAAAAGCCTGATAAATCCAAACCACAAAGACTGTGGTTTTGTGGATGGACAAATAGATGCGAGGGTATGCATCCATCTGTTAACATTAGATTTCCAAAAAGAATTTAAACCACAGCAACCGGAAAAGCATCTTCTAGATAATAAATTAAAATAGTTGGAATGTGGTTTCCCTCACAAATTCTAATGAAATTCGAATTTTAGATTTCTTCCTAGAAATGTTACAGCTCTTTGAGGTAATCTGTGGCAAAACCAAGTAAAACTAAGTTGAGAATTGAAAACATCATTCAGAATTCCTTCCCCTTTTAGCAAAGTCTAAAAGCTCTTTTCTCTGCAAAAAAAAAAAGCTGACAAAGACAAGCCTGTCCTCTTCTCCATTTACCAGCTTTCCAAACAGAATATCTGACTACCATAAAAACGCAAAAAGGAAAGGGGCTTGGAATTTAATTCAAGAGCAGTACAAAGTCCAGCTACTACTTTCCTGCTGTTTCACAGCATTTCATTATTTTGCTTAATAAGTTCATCTCCTCAAGAATTTTCTCTTCACCTTACATTATTAAAAGTAATAAGTTTTTCTGGATTGGGAGTTTTCCCAACAGAAAAACCAATTTATGTATGTCCTTCAATAATGACAGGAAAAGATTATTTCCCATTATATTGCACACTTTTCATATCACCACCACAGCTTATCAGTCAATAAATGTTACTCTGCAACTTGCTCCTTTCCTTGAAGAAGTTTAATTTCTGTATTAACCTGTTTTTCCCAGGCAACGCCTTGCTAGAAAGCATCCCTACAGCAGCAAAATTAGTTTGTTAAAGAAACCATTTAGAAATCTCTTGTCACTGATAATATTGTCTTCAGTTAATAAAAGTACACAAAGTCAGTTTACATCTAATTCACTGACACACACATGCACACAGACATAAGCACTTATTCTTAATAACACATTTTACGCCATGAATGCATCCTTTTAAAGCAAAAGGTGAATTCAACATTTATATCCAATTATAGGTACAAAGCTGTGCTAATGCAGCAGAGCCCAACTTCTGGCACACAGCTCGTGCAAGCAGCACTGGTGCCGAGGTGAGTCACCCGGCCCCAGGGATCTGCCTCCCGTTGGTGCAGTGAAAATGCTCCCACAAAAACAAGACTGTCAGAGCTGCTCAGGTTGTTGTGTGGCAGAGAGAGATTCAGGCTGGGGAAGGGAGGAGTGAGGACAGCCCAGGGATCCATGCTGGCCTCACCTAGATGACTACAGAGAGCAGGTGGACACACATCTAACCTGCTGTCATGTGTTCCTCAAGCTCCAACAGGCCCTGAAGACATCTCAGACCCTATCCTACTGCTCACCCCGTGTCCTGACATTGTACCTTGCAAGGCCACCTGCAGAAAGGATAGAAGGATAAACTGGAGAGGAAGGAAGGGTGGCCCAGGAACAGGGAGAGGCTCTTAGCCAGAAACATGGTTCCCTTCCCTGAATCCGAAGGTGTGGACAAAGCCCACTGCTGAACTCCAGCACCAGATCTAACTGGCAGCCCCCACTTATCTGTGGATAAAAGAGATGAGAGGTGTCTTAAGCTCTCCTGTTAACTTCCTCCTTTCTCAATGTGTCAACAGTTCATCACTATCTCTGCCATGTGCTCCTCACTGCTTCTTCCCTCTAGTGACAGCACTCAACAGTGACCTAGCAGATAAACCTTCTGTACCAGGACTTGATGTTCTTCCAGTCCCTGTCCCTCCTTCCTTCCCTCCATCCCAGACAACAAGATACAACTGGATCTCCCTTGGAAAGCCTCTCTGGCAAGGGAGGAAAGAGCAAAATTTATCCCTTGGGTTGCCAGTCAGAAAATACAGTTGTGCACACTGGACAGACTCTCGATGGCTCGAAATTTGTATAGCTCTGCTGAGGTTTATGGGAGTTGGCCAATCACTACTAGCTTGAGATTTGCCCTGTTAGTGGAGGTGACCATTTAAATACCTCAAATGGTGAAACAAAATTCAAATTCAAATGCAGCAGGTGATGCATTAAGATTGCATGATCCTTTAGTAACAGTTTTTCGGGGGAGAAAATCCAAAAGCACATTTAAAAAAAAAAAAGTATACAAATATTAGCAAATAAATCCTATTATGTTGTTACTTCCTCCTGAGTGAGCCTGTTTGGTTAATTTTTATAAAGATTGTGAGAATTACCTTGTTGCCAGTTTGCCAGTAGTATTCTTTAATGGCTCTCATCATGACTGTTCCAACCGGAAGGGTTGCATTTTCCACCTCCTTTCCTGTAGACGTCTTTATAAAATCAGAACCTGAAAGGAAGTAAAAAGCTTTAGAGCAGCTTCAGAACAAGAGTCACCCTGCACATAGAGAGCTCACACCCTCCAAAGATATCATCCTGCTTCACAGCCATTATGTAGCATTCCTTCACATGTACGTCCCTGTGGTGTGGCTGCTAACCTTGCTCTGGTCGAGGCAGAGGAGGAGGATTACACCCACATGGTTTTAGAGTAAGTCAGACATCCCAGAGGGTAAATGAACATCCCAGCTCCTAATTATTTGCTCGAGCTATCAAACCAGCAATCTCTTCAGGACAATCCAATATAATACATGTTCCTGTACAGATACTCAGTATATGTCTACCTATACATTAATAGGAATGTGTCTGACTAATCACGACAAGGGAAATTATTTCCTCAGAAAAAAATTTTCATATAAATCAACATTTTAGTATTTCCACAAGGATCTTTCTGAATAGGTATTATTTTCATCAGTTTTTTTAATTACATTGCATCTACTTAGCCATGGCCTGATACAATGCAGCAACAAGGTCAAAACATGTATTATTTGAAGAACAAAAGTTAGCCTTAGCTTACTTTTTTCTGGTTTCCCACTTGTGAACAATATTCTCCACTGCCTGTCTTAATACTTGAGTAACATTCTTGTGTATTCTTGCTGTTCTGCTTTGGTTTAAAATGAATCCTGCAGCACAGTAAAACAAAAAGCTAAGAAACTACCAAAAAAAATGTGCTTTGCAGTGTGTGATTGTGCATTGACACAATACAGTGATAAAACTTCTTTCATTTCATTAGGACACACTTCATCCCTAGGAACCTACTTCTTAGAAAAGGTGTACTGTGGGATCATTAATTATCAAAAGTAATTGGGAGAAGAAGAGGGATAATTCAAACATCGTGTAGTGCATCATCCACTTAAGTCAATTGGAACTGCATCTGCTTCCACTTCAAATTTGGCTTAGGGTCCATTTTGTCTCTTATGTGAGTGATGATGCCTCTACAACATCCCCTAGAGCAAGGAAGGGAAGTTTCACTACTGGCTCAAATGGAAGAGTTGCCTAGGCTACATCCTGCCGGTGTGCTGCAGCACACTCCAGAGAGCTGTCTTCCTCAGGACACAGCTGACTGGCACACAGCTGGGTCCCAGCCTGATGGGAAGTTAAGACAAAGCCAGGCATGTTTCAGTGTCCTGTGATTTAAACATAATAGAATGGCATCACCAACTTTGGGTTTTGTTAAGACCATGGTTTTCTCTACAGGCTTCCTGACAAGGCACCAACTCAGCCCACTGGTGATTAAGTCACACCCTCCTGTGACAATTTCCATTCTAAAGAAAAACAGTTATTTGTGAAAAACATTCTAACTTCAGAGAACATGCAGTGTGCAAAAGAGGTAATTACTAGATGATTGAGCTTTGCAAAGAACGAAGCACACAGGAGAGACAACTGAGTTACACATTTCAGAGCTACTCCCTTCCAGAGAGACACTACGGACATCTGATAGTCACATTAAAACAAAGAACAGTGGAAGTGAAACTTCAACATTGCCAAATTATATTTTTAATTTCCCTTTTGAAATGTAGCACTTAAAGTCCTTCAGTGCAGTACTTTTCTTTTTTTTCCACTATAAGGTAAGTCAAAGCTTTTATAAGTCTTATAATTACAAGTCTCTATGGTACAGTTTCATTAAAAACTTTCATTAAACAACAGCTGCCCTTGTATATGGTCTTCTAATCAATTTGGTCAAACAGAATGACTTCTAATCAGCTGTTGATAAAAATAGAAGATGAAATTTTAATTCTAATAGATTAACCACAAACTCAAGATAGTCTTCAAAATCCATCTAGCTCTATTCTCCAGTGGATTTAACGACTATTCAGCAACTCATTACTAAATAGAACAAGATGAACATTTTCCAGTTCATTAAAGAAATGTACTATGTATTTTTGCATTGTCCTCATGATTCGTTACAGGGAGTCTTAATTACAAGATAATGGATAATGGTTATTAAATGCAGACTCCAGTAATGAAGCTCTATTCATTTGCGAGCCTCAGAGACTGCAAAGAGGGGAAAATAAAATTACTAGCTTCAAAAGATTAACGGATCAAATTATTATTCAATTTTGAAAATCTCATTCAGACTTCATAGAAACAAGAAGAGATTAAAAACTAGTATTAGTACAAAAGTAGTGCATTTATATATTTATTTTTAAATAATATCTTAAGGCTATTACCAGAATAATCAGTTCTAGATGTGATTATTAGACAAACATACAGCCAATTTAGTAGCATCCTCTAACAATGAAAACAATACATTTTTATTTCCTGAACAAATTCTTTTTATGACACAAGAGCTTGCTAGCAGGACTGCATGCAGCCTCTTGCAGAAGAAAGAAGATGCACACTAGCAGAGAGAGCCACAATGAAAGGTGTTATTAACGCTTGGATTTCAGGAATGAAAAGCAGGATTTAAAAATCAAGTGCTACCAAAAAAGGCACCTCATTAAGTACACTTTATGCCAACCTTGTAATAATAAGGGAGTTCCACCAAGTCTATTTCTTATTCAAGTTTTCAAAAACAAGTCCAAGGAATAAAGTTCAGCAAGAGTTTCATCTGGAAATTTAGGTGATGATTTAGAAACCTGAGTTCTATCACCCATCTTCTCATCTTCCTCTGAATGTATACACCCAAAAAATCAAGGGCTAAGGCTAAAATACATGCTGGATGGCTTTCCCCTTCCTTAGAGTAAGGTTACATGATTCAACGAAGCACTAAATCAAAGATTAAACAAACTGAGTTATTTGGGGGACATTTCTAGGCCCGGTGAGCCCAGAAAAAAACCACACTTTCTACTCTTTTTCCATGTATAACCACAACAGTACATTGCCTTTCAAGGCATCGAGTCACGTAAGACCCATTGAATCAGCAAAGAGTGGTGACATCGAAGCCTTTTTGAAACACAGAAACATCACAGGCCTGTTTCAAGTGGGCTTGCTGCCAACCCAGTGACCCACCAGCGTTACAGCACCACAGCCTGGCAAACACCAACTGCAGCAGCTTGCTTTCACCACATGTAAATCTGAAGGAACCTTAGGAAATGGGAACAGTGCTGCGGTCTCTGTCTGAGAGACTCACTCTGGCCAAGAGCAACTGAGCTCTCGGCACTGCTGGGAGCCAGACCAGTCATGGGTCTCGTGTAATCAGGTGGAGTGCTTTCAGTGACCCACAGAAACATTCAGGTTGGAAAAAACCCTGAAGTTCATCCAGTCTAACTGTTAACACTGCCAAGTCCATCAATAAACCATGTTCCTAAGTGCCATATCTACACCTCTTTTAAATAGCTCTGGGGACGGTGACTCAACCACTTCCCTGGACAGCCTGTTCCACTGCTGGACAACCCTTTTGGCTGCCAACCAGTTTTAACCCAGCTGTCAACTTGGTTGGTTTAAGACATTAAACCTCCTCTTCCTTTGCACTCTCACCCCCCATACAGTGACCCTCAGCCACTGCACTCTACCAAAGACCCCTCAAAATAATCAAGCTGAATGTGCAGACACCAAAAAGAAAGTCACGGTCTTCACACCACACTGCCTGAATCCATATTGAGAGATCAGGACGAAGTCCATTATATGATTTCTACTCTAGATACACAGCCTCATTTATGGTAGCACCTGAACAAAGGTGTAGAGCTGAGGTATATAGAAGCTGAGTGACTTGCCTGAGGTCTCTCAGCAAGCATTTGACAGGGCACAGATTGAATGCCCCGGTCTCCCAAAGGTCAGAAGAGCTTCCCTAACTGGCCTGCCCTATTGCTCTCCTCTACATCATCTCAAAACACTACAAAGCTTTCCAGTCCACAGAACACTGAAGCAGAGCATGAGAAGTGGAGAATCTTATTTAGATGACATCCAGGAAACACACTCTGATTCCATAATTAAGCAATAAGGAATAATAAGCAGTATACCAATTGTGGAGTAATCACAACCTTTTGGTTGTGAAGTGTTCCAAATGCCCTTGGGGAATGATTATCTCCCGATAACTACAGAATTTTTGTTGTTGCCTAAGTCTTAATAAAGAACAAAGATGTGTCTGGCAGTTTTAAACAATAGTTTAGACAGAGATGCTTGCAGAGGGACAATTATGCCATGCTACTTTGTAAGTATTTGCAATGAGCACAAATGTATCTCGGTTGCTGCAACTCAGATATAACAATATACAGTGACACAGGGCAAACACACACCCTTCCAAGGTTCCTAGGACTGATGGCAAAAAGAGGCACACTGCTGAGAGGACCTGAAAAATCACCCTCTGTTTCTGCTGACAAGGTAGCAGTGATAAAATAGTACAGTATCAAATGTGCATAAAGTCCCATTAGCAAGTATCATTTCTATTTTATGAGTACCTAAACTAAGGGTCTTCAGATTCATACACAATTAGCCTGGCTAGGGGCGACCAGGTTATTAACCCTCTGAAAATAAGAGGCAGGGCAAGATATAAAAGGCTAATGTAGTAGCTAATTCTTGTCAGTTGAGTCATCGTAATTGTCCACTTAACACGTCCTTATCCTACTCCAGTGGCAAGATAAAATGCATTCCCTGCTTGCTTAACTTTGCCATTGAGGAGAAGAGAATACAAAGCTGTTACAACTCACTTTGGAAGTAGCTCACTGTAGTGGTTTGAACCAGGTTTTCCCCCTGAAACTAAGGAAGTGGTAACCCCCAGGGGGTGGTGACCCTTGGGGTTTGACCCAATCAGCACTCCTGCAAAATATAAACATATCTCTAGACCGGAAAAGAAGAAGTGGTACTTGTTGTTAGAAGAAGGGTAGCCATGTTGTTGTGAGCCACGAGGGAGCCGGGGCAGAAGCCCCTGGGGGGTTTGCCCCCCCCCCCAGTCCCTTGGCTGGGGTTACAGGGACTCGGAACAGTGTTAAACTGGGCTGAGTGCCTGTAACTAAGAGCTGGGGGAGTTTCTCCCTGGTAAGCAGCAGTAAGAGACACTAAGAGCGGCGGCAG